TTTAACGAGAATTTTCTTTTTAAATTTCATCCACGTAGAAGGCCGGAATCACTGCAGCAGTGAAGGGTCTTTTTTTTTGTCGCGCCGTTGGAGATCAACGATAATTAAAAAATATTTAATTTTTTTCTTCAAAAATTTTACTATGTATTTTAAAACACTTATAAATATATTTCTGAAATTTTGAAATGATTGATAAAGTAGTTTTTTTAATATAAATTCCCAAAAATCACCTTTTTTTAGGCGGTTAAGCTAGTTGTCCCCCTTAATTGCACTAAATATTTAAGTTTTATTTTCTTGTCGGATTTACAGTAATAACCAATATTCATATAAAAATATAATAATTCTTCTCTCAAATTATTTCTGAAAATCGTCTTCAAAGCTTCTTGCTAGTGCAATGCAAAGACATATCATTAAAATGCATACGTTCACGAAACTATTTACTATATTTTCTAAAGACATATAGTAAATAGACGTCTTTTAACTTTAATCTTTATTTTGCGTAAACAAGTTGAAATTTATCATTTCTAGTGCAAACACATTAATGATTTCTCTGAAGAATATTTCTATGATATTTGTCTTCAAAGCACTAAGGTTTAAATGACTATCTGGCAAGTAGCTTATGAAGTTTATATGCCTCATTACGGAAAAGTATTATATATATATATGTATATATATATATATATATATTTATATATATATATATATATATATATATATATATATATATTTAATGGTACAGAAGAACTCTTGCGAAAGAGAGTTCGTGTAAAGCGCGCCGCAAATGTTGTTCTTTCTAAATATTTAGCTGTCGGTTTCTTGTCAAAATGTTTGCAAATCAGAAATTTTCCTCTGGGCCATGTCAGGGCTACATTGTAATGTTAACATGGCTTAGTCATCAACTTTGTCTGACAAAGAAACTTGAAGGTTCACAATATAAAGTGATGAATATACGACGTAAACTTTTACACGAGATAATAATCAGATATTAGATTAATTATATTTTTGGGTTTCATAAAAATAACGCGTTATTTATAAAATTCTATTTTTTCATAATTTTCCATTATGTTCTTTTATAATTAATATAAAAACCGATTCTCACTTTATTACTGCAGTATATAAACTTTTACAATAATAACACGTTGTTGAGAAAAGCAATATCATATTTTACGATCCTCCTGGCTCGTCAGATTTGAGTTATTAAGCAAGCCCACGGCACCAGACAACTGATATCGTTTTAATAGCATTCAGTCTAATAGATTTCGGAAATATTTCAGAACAGAATCACAACACAACACAACTTATATAGCCGATATCATATTGGGATTAAGGGATAAGGGATAATTCATACGAGACGTAATGTCGAAATAACTCAATAGAGGATTGAGTAACGAAATTGGAAATTGATATCGTGAGGAAAACAAAGATTTGAATTGTCAATTAGAAATTGATTCGGTTAATGGAATCGCGGGTATTATGAATATTTATGTGAAATAAATACAAGTCATTGGAAAATAAACATACACGAAAAGTACAAAACCTTACGTATGCTTACATGAACTGCGATGGAAGATTTTTTTAACTTCCCGTAGGGTAAGTTATAGTAATCGCAAAAAAATCAAAAATGAAAATTTTTATATATCTTTACGTTTTAGAGGTTTTTGAATATTTTGGCATACCTCAGAAAAATGGATGTATGTGTGTGTGTTGTGTGCGCGTGTGTGTATGTGTGTTCGGATACAAATTTTCGTCGACGATTTCGGGAACACGGATGAAGCGATTTGGATATTCAAAAAGCATTCGATTCGTATTGATAAGGAGACGTGCTGATTAGTTTTTGGTTAAGGCAGGTCTAGCCGTTCCGAAGATATGGGGCAAAAAGTGCCAAAAACGGTAACTCAGTTTTTAAGAGAACGGAGGGTCCGATTTGAATAATTCAAAAAACATTTTACTTGTATTAACAAGATGAAGAACTGATCATTTTTGTGAAGGCAGGTCTAGCGATTTCGTAAATCTAGTAAAAAAAGTAAAAAAAAATGCCATCTGAGGTCAAAAATTATCATTAGAGATATGCACATCAAATTATTAGATATTTTATAGAGATTTCAACAATAAGTATAAATTTTGTTTACATTCGTATGGGTTCCGTACCAGTGTTTATCCGTTAGACGGCGACGCGGCGCCTACGCGCTTCGATATTTCGTCTCTATGCAGTTAAAGCAGTACGATTGCTTTGAAAAAAAGTTCAGAATTTCCAAAATATTTCATAACAAATTTTTCCTCAAGAAGTCTTTTTTTTTTCAAAAACAAAAGTAAACATCTAATTTTTTCAGAGTAAATTTTTTTCAAAAATGTTAATCTTTTTGAAAAAAAAATTTTTGTTACGGGAAGTTCCAGCAATTTGCCTTAAGGCATGATTCCGTGCGCCCCACTAGTTTTTTGTTAATTTTGTTTAAGTATTTTTTAAATAAAGTAGTAAGAATAAATGGCTTCTCAATATTTAATTTGCATATATTATATAAAAATTTCTTGACACTTCACATTTTCCTCATATAATTATCTACTCATATTCTCATACTCTACAAGTGCTCTAAATTTGTTCATGTTAAAGGCGCTAATAAAAACTTGTTCGAACAAACATACTTCATCTTTTTCGTTTTGGACCCTATCTCAAAATAGCTATTATAACGACTGTTACTACCATACCCAGTGTTCCCTACTTTAAACATATTAACCTCCTGTACAACATAAAGTGCATGGTCATCGAAATTTGAAATTAAAACTAATGACAAACCCTAAATTTTACCACCTACTCACGTCTGATAAGTAGTATAAATAAATATTATTAATAGAAAAATATCAGTATCAAATGAAAGGTTCACAACTAAAAAAATATTAGCAAAATCTTTACCAGTTGACCAGACTTCCAATTGTAAAGTATGTATATTTTATTGATGTTGATAGATATTTGGAAAATTCGTTGCTTTGTTCCGCGTATGACTACTTTGATTATTTATTCCATTCTCCGTCAATAAATTATCTATCTCGCACCTTTTGCTCTAAAAAAATAATAACGCTTCTTATTATTTACAACCTACTTTATTATAAAAGAGTGAAGTTTTCCTCTAAGAATTATTTAGACAGCGTTCACATTGTAAATAGTGCTTTGAACTTTCGCTGAAAATAAATAAAATATTTGACTGGCGTTTGCGGATTAGCACATCTTTCGTCTATGAGCTTAATTCGAACGAGTCGGACGTTGCGCTCGTCTTCTTCTTCGTCTATGAAGTTCACACATTCATAGTCCAGATTAAAATTCCATTCGGCGAGGATTTCATTGTATGTATTTTTACAACGGGAGATGGAACGGAAATAAATGAGATCTGGTAGTAATATAGTAAAATTTAAAATTATTTTAAAAAGTGATTCAATTTTTTAGCAAAAAATAAACGCGAGATGTAAAGGACTCTCTTGGGTTCTAATGAATGATACGAGATTAGCAGCATCGTGCCATAAGGCAAATTGCTGGAACTTCCCGTACCGTAATGAAATATTTGAGAAATCTTAAACGTTTTCAAATATATTATTACAAATACTGTAACTTTCATTATTTTTGCTATCCTGTTATATTTGAGCAAATCAAATGTAAATCATAAATAAATCAATTTATCTCCAGAACATTTAACAATCGTCATTTCATTTTATTTCGAATTCAATTTCAAAAAAAAAAAATAGTAGCCTAATTTACACAAAATTGAAAAAGCTCCCGTATAGTCACAGTCTAAACGCATTTGCAAATAATTCTATGCGATATTTTCACTTATACTGTGATAAGCTTGGCGGCATTTTCACATTTTTTAATTGTTTTTACAAAATTGGAAAAGTGCTAGTACATAAACAGTCTAAACGCACTTGGGTAAACATTTGCACCAGAGTGGCGCTTAGACTGTGCTTAGCCTGGGTAATTTTTTGAATTTTTAATCCAAAATTACAAAAATAT